TAGTGTTCTCTGTACAGCACTATTTCGGAATATTTCAGAGCCAGTGAATAATTATTAACAATAATGATTACCCCATTGTTTTGTATAGGTATTACTTAAACTGTACACATAGGTATCAGCACAAAGAAAATGTTAAAAATATCCTTTTTTTATTTTGGATAGAGCCAAATGTTTTGCTGTCTGTGTCTCTGCTGGGGAGATTCACCCTCTCAGTTTGTCCTGCTGATTTTTTTTTTTACCCACAGTAAAAATTCAAACTTTAGAGTTGAGACCGGAGCGAGAGGTGAGGTGAGGGAAAATCAGCCAATAGGGACAAATGTGCCAATGACAACTGTCTAAGCAGGAAATTCCTCTCACAATGGTGAGATTTCTTGTCACTTCCTAATTGTTTCCAAGACAGGAAATTAAGGGAATGCACAGACAAAAAAATAAATTTATATTAGTTATAACCCTTCCCTGACAAGTTTTAGCTATGCATACACTTTAATTCTGCATGCCAAGCAGCCAGGTAAAAACAGTTGATATATCACATATACATACTGTATATGACATTTCTACCTGCAAAAGTGTTTGTAATTCAGTCAGTTTTTCATAAGAACACCCTTGTCAGACAGCAGAGCCATCATTGGCCCACTCCCAGCTGATGAGACAAAGAATGAGCATTAGCACACTGATTACATCATAATTCTTTCTCCTCCTGTCAGCATTCTCTCAGTATTGTTGTGTTTTATGACAGCACTGTTCAGTGCAATACAACATAGCAGACTCACAGTGTTGCCCTCCCTCTCCTAGTCCATCTAACAGAGTCATCCCTATAATGAGGCAGCCTGAGGCTAATGCCTCAGGTGGCATCTTTTTGGGTCAAGTGGGGGGAGGCGGCATGGCCACTCTGCTGCACAATTTCTGCAGTTTTCCTGCCACCCCCTTTCTGACCAGAGCATTCCAGGTTGCTAAGAGCTGGGCGGGAAGATGTGTGAGGACCATATACTGTACACCTCCCCACCCAGCTCTCAACAACCTGGGACGCCAGCCAAAGCATCACGGGTTGAGCTGGGCTCTGCAGATGTGTATTTGCAGAGCCTCCAGAGGATGGTGTGCACCACCAACAACCCCCAACACCTCCCTCCGCGCCACCACCCCAGGCAGCAAAAAGGCTAGCGACACCACTGCCCACTAAAGATAGAAGTCATGTACTTATATGAACTCTGTTTAAAAACCTATTTTCTATATCTGCCTGCAGTAACACAAATGCGTTTTGAAGAAAAATAAACAAATTCCTTATACATGTAGGAGAACTCCTTAAAGCGCACATACAGGACCGCACACTATTGCACAACATACAGCAACCCCTCTGTGTGTTTATAAACTAGCTACTAATCTCTTTTGTTGTATTACAGCTGCATTGCAACAGGCAGGAAAATTGCACAGCACCTTAACATTTAACCACCGACCATCCAATCTGCATGGCTTCATTTACCAGAATTCGTTTCCTGCTGGACGCCAGGTACCCAACTGTTACCCATCATCTGAACAAAAGAGGCCACAAATCAAAGTGACAGACCAATCAAGAGCTCACAAGTCTTTTTCCACTTAGATTCCCAATACCTACCAATGCTGAACAGCTTTAAGCAAGTAAATTTCTCAAAAAGTTTTCATGCCATTTTTTCCCCTGAAATGACACACACCCCTTCCTCTTTCTTATAGACACATTTTAGGTAGTCTCATTATTTACATTTCTGTAAAGTGGATCTAGCACTAAAATTCACACTTCATGTGCATCTAGGGCACGTCATTGTTACTAAATTACATTGGAGAAAATTAACATTCATATTTGTGGCAGAATTAATGTACAGAAATGAGGTAGGAAACGTGTGCACCAAATTATTACACCAATAAGCCTATTTGAGAGAAAAAGTACCAAAATTGACTGATGTTTGGAACTTATCATAAGTCCCTCCACCTTGACTAAAGCCCCAGTTCCAGCTGAAGAAAAACAGCCCCAAAGTATAATACTGCATAATCCACCACCATGCTTCACTGTGGGTATGGTGTTCTTTTAGTGATGTGCTGTGTGGTTTTTGTGTCAATCATTCTTTTTGGAACCATGGCCAAAAAGTTCAATCTTGTTCTCATCAGACCATAACACATTTCCCCAAATGCATTTGTCAGACTTGATGTAGGTTGTTGCAAAATGTAGTTTGGCTTGGATGTTTTTCTTAGTAAGAAAAGGCTTCTGTCTTGCCACCGTACTCCTCACAACAATAACAACACTGTGCATCACCAAAAGAACACCATAATCACAGTAAAGCATGTTGGTGGCAGCATTATACTTTGGGGCTGTTTTTCTTCAACTGGAACTGGGGCTTTAGTCAAGGTGGAGGGACTTATGAACAGTTCCAAACATCAGTCAATTATGGCACAAAACCTTCAGGCCTCTGCTAAAAAGATGAGGAGGAACGTCACCTTTCAGCACGACAATAACCCAATGTATGCCTCCAAATCTAGCAAAAAATGGCTTTACCAGAAGAAGTTTTGGAATAGCCCAGCTAGAGCCCAGATCTGAATCCAATTTAAAGTCTGTGGGTTGACCTGAAGAGGGCTGTGCACGGGAGATACCCTCACAATCTGACAGATTTGGAGTGCTTTTGCAAGGAAGAGTGGGCAAAGATTCCCAAGGCAAGATGTGCTGCGCTAATCGACTCCTATCCCTGTCATAAAATCAAAAGGTTCTTCAGCAAAGTATTAGTGTATGGGTGTCTATATTTATGCAACAGCATTATTGTATGTTTTTTATTCTTTATTTTCCCCCCTTTAAAGATATCAGATTGTTTTTATTCAAATTGCACAGATTATAGGTCACATTAAAGGTGGAAAAAAATTCTTAAGTGATTTATCGTGGTGTGATTTTTTACATCTAAAGAACCAGGCATTTTTACAGGTGTGTGTAGACTTCTTATATCCACTGTATCTAAAAACACTATAGACTAAACAATATAGACTATAGCGCTGCCTTGTAGATAACATGAAAATTGTTGTTGTTTTTTTGTTGGTACAGGGATTAGACATGTTTTCAATTTTTTTTCCTCCAAAGAAAACGGCATATTTATTAATGAACTATATTGAAACTGTAAATATTTCTCTATAAGATATCAGAGAATTTGTGTTTTTCACCAGGGTCCTGCAGCTTTTAGTTTTATTTTCCATCCTTGTGTGTTGGTGTATTTTTTCTCTCCTTTGTTCCTGGCTCTTAGAAAAGCCTGCTGCTAATAGTCTCTTTAATGGGATGATGAATACATAAAACGTATATTGATCAGAGGGGTGATGGATGGTGGGAGCGCTTTGACAGATGAGACTAACGTAGGAACTGCCAATACGGGGGCATGAAAGCTGGCCCTCTGTCGCTCTACGGCCTAATACTATCTGACCCACTGGGCAGTAGGGTAACTCCCTTGTCCCTGCTCCGAAGCAGGAGCCTCTCCGTTCTGGGTGGAATAATTCATCGCCAGCTTAAAACGCTGCGACACGAAGAAATTGGAGACGGTGAAATATGATGGATTATACCTTGAGAGGAGGCGACTCGCTGAGCTTAAATTGATCCCCAAGAAAATGGTTTTGTCTTCTGTGAGGAATGGTCAAATGTTTCAAAAGGTTTTTTTTTCCTTTTTTATAGAGCTAGAATTCCAGAAATGATCCCCCTCCTGTTTTGACGTCGGTTTATGTATTCGAAAGTCACTGGTTTCATCGGACAATATTCCAAGAGGTCCTGATGTCTTTGTTAAGGGTCCATTTACATTATTGCATTTTAGAACACATATTACACATGGTGTTAACTGTTGCATTGTAATATCACATGTTTATATTCTTGCACTTTAACATTACATGTTTTAGCACATGTTACAATGCGCTAAAACACATGTGTCCAGGTTCCTTGTAATAAAATGAGTCCCTCATTACATCTCTGTGCTGCACTACAGTGGGTTTTGAAAAATATGACATCCATTTTTCCTACATTTTAGCATTTCAGGATCATTTATGTTACTAGCACAACTTAAGCATCTTCATTGAAAACAGCATTTATTGATGTCCAATCAGCATGTTAGAAAAGCAAAAGTGCAACGTTTCGGAGCCACACAGGGTCCCTTCATCAGACAACATTGCAATATTGCGGTTTCTTATCGTGGTGCTATCCACAAGTTGCTTAAGTACCCATCAAGAGGGGCACAAATGGTATGGTGTGCTGCACCTGTCAACTCATCACACAGGTTAACGGCAGGTGCTCTGGACTGATGAGTCAAAATCTGAAATATTTGACTGTAACAGGAGGCAGTTTGTTTGCCGAAGGGCTGGGGAGCAGTACAATGTCTGCAGGCAACAGTGAAGCATGGTGGAGGTTCCTTGTAAATCTGGGGCTGCATTACTGCCAATGGAGTTGAAGATTTGGTCAGGATCAATGTTGTCCTCAATGCTGAGAAATATAAGCAGATACTTATTCATCATGCCATACCATCAGGAGGCATGTGATTGCCCCAAATTAATTGTGCAGCAGGACAACGACCCCAAACATAAAGCCAATGGCATTAAGAACTATCTTCAGTGTAAAAAAGAACAAGGAGTCCTGAAATTGATGGTTTGGTCCCACACAGAACCCTGATCCTAACATCATCAAGTCTGTCTGGGATTACATGAAGAGACAGAAGGATTTGAGGCAGCCTACATCCACAGATGATCTGCGGTTAGTTCGCCAAGATGTTCCGAACAACGTACCTTCCAAGTTCTTTCAAAAACTGTGTGCAAGTGTACCTAGAAGAATTGATGCTGTTATAAGGCAAAGGGTGGACACTCCAAATATTGATATGATTTGGATTTCTCGTCTGTTCATTTACTTTCCATTTTGTTAATTGATAAAAATTAACTATTAACAATTTTATTTCTGAAAACATTCTTACTTTACAGCATTTTTTCACACCTGCCTAAAACCTTTGCACAGTATTGTATATGACAAATACCCATATGTTCTCCAAATGATGTGGACATGTTTAACCCATAGAGCTGTAAATGTCTGTGGATGCTTCTTTACATACACTCTTGTCTTTAATTTAATGCCATTAAAATAAGGGGGCAGGGCTTGTGAGGAATAAAAAAAATAACATGTCTGACAAATCTAAACTAAAGGGGAGAGGTAGAAAATAAAGGAGACTTTCAATCTGCCGGTTACTGGAAATGGGTTTTAGGGATAAATTGTGGCTGAATCAATAGTGATCTGTCTGTAGCAATCAGGTGTTGACAGCTGTATAGGGTGACAACCTCATACAAATAGAGCTGATGCTTCTCAGTCAAATGAGCCCATAAATTGTGGCACTAGTACACCTTTGAGGATACCATATCATCACTATGAAACCTAATGAACAATATAGAAATCATGTTTGTGTGAACATTGTGGATGTGTCATGTCATTAGAGACTGTAAAGGGGCTATTGCTTTCAGTCAGACAGACCTTGTCTGGTAGGCAACCCTTTTAAACAGGAAGTAGAGCCTGCATATATAGTGAGTTTTTATGGCCTTTCTCTTGTACGTAGGTAATTACAAACTATTCATAGAAAAAGGGTTTTATCAAAATAAAACACATTATAAGATTATTTACATTGAGCTGATCCCTTTCACATGCATGTTAGAGAGTGAGCCCACCATAAACTTTTTTCGATCTGTTGGGGGCTTTATTGGTGACAGAGGCATAACTAGGATTATGAAAGGTCTAGAGTACCCATGAGCATCCTGAGAAAAGGAATGATGCCATTCTCTTAGCACGCTGTGGCAAATGTTGGTTTTGGCCAACTTGCTGCAACAGTGGGAGAAGCTTAAGTCAGGGTGCACAATGTATAGAGCTCAGGAATCAGGAATGCATAAGATACAGGGCTCAAGAATCAAGAGTGCATAAGATGCAGGGGTTCAGAAATCAGGAGTATGTAAGACACAGAGCACTGTGGTCAGGATTGCATAAGATACAGGGCTCAGGAATCAGGAGTATGTAAGACACAGAGCGTAGGGGTACGGATTGCATAAGACACAGAACATAGAGGTCAGGGTTGCATAAGACACAGAGTGTAGGGGTACGGATTGCATAAGACACATAGCATAAGGGCCAGGATTGCATAAGATACAGAGCATAGGGGTAAGGATTGCAATTGCATAAGGTACAGAGCGTATGGGTTAGGATTGCATAAGGTACAGAGCGTAGGGGTTAGGATTGCATAAGACACAGAGCACAGGGGTAAGTATTGCATAAGGTACAGAGCGTATGGGGTCAGGATTGCATAGGACAGAGCGTAGGATCAGGATTGCATAAGACACAGAGCATAGGGGTAAGGAATTCAAAAGTTACAAAACGTAGGGGTCAACATTGCATAAGACACAGAGCGTAGGGGTCAGGATTGCATAAAACACAGAGCGTAGGGGTCAGCATTGCATAAAACACAGAGCATAGGGGTAGGAATTGCATAAGACACAGAGCATAGGGGTCAGGATTGCATAAGAGAGAGCCTAGGGGTCAGGATTGCAAAAGATACAGAGCATAGGGGTAAGGATTTCATAAGGTACAGAGCATAGGGGTTAGGATTGCAAAAGACAGAGAATATAGGGGTCAGGATTGCATAAGACACAGAGCGTAGGGGTAAGGATTGCATATGACACAGAGCGTAGGGGTAAGGATTGCATATGACAGAGCGTAGGGGTAAGGATTGCATAAGACACAGAGCATAGGGGTCAGGATTGCATAAGAGAGAGTGTAGGGGTCAGGATTGCAAAAGATACAGAGCATAGTGGTAAGGATTTCATAAGGTACAGAGCATAGGGGTTAGGATTGCAAAAGACACAGAATATAGGGGTCAGGATTGCATAAGACACAGAGCATAGGGGTAAAGATTGCATATGACACAGAGCGTAGGGGTCAGGATTGCATAAGACACAGAGTGTATGGGGTAAGAATTCCAAAAGACACATAGCGTAGAGGTCAAGATTGCATAAGACACATAGCGTAGGGGTCAGGATTGCATAAGATACAGAGCATAGGGGTAAGGATTTCATAAGGTACAGAGCATAGGGGTTAGGATTGCAAAAGACACAGAATATAGGGGTCAGGATTGCATAAGACACAGAGCGTAGGGGTAAGGATTGCATATGACACAGAGCGTAGGGGTAAGGATTGCATATGACAGAGTGTAGGGGTAAGGATTGCATAAGACGCAGAGCATAGGGGTCAGGATTGCATAAGAGAGAGCGTAGGGGTCAGGATTGCAAAAGATACAGAGCATAGGGGTAAGGATTTCATAAGGTACAGAGCATAGGGGTTAGGATTGCAAAAGACACAGAATATAGGGGTCAGGATTGCATAAGACACAGAGCATAGGGGTAAGGATTGCATAAGACACAGAGTGTATGGGGTAAGAATTCCATAAGACACATAGCGTAGGGGTCAAGATTGCATAAGACACATAGCGTAGGGGTCAGGATTGCATAAGACACAGAGCAGGATTGCATAAGACACAGAGCGTAGGGGTCCGGATTGCATAAGACACAGAGCAGGATTGCATAAGATACAGAGCATAGGGGTTAGGATTGCATAAGGTACAGAGCGTAGGGGTCCGGATTGCATAAGACACAGAGCAGGATTGCATAAGATACAGAGCATAGGGGTTAGGATTGCATAAGGTACAGAGCGTAGGGGTCCGGATTGCATAAGACACAGAGCAGGATTGCATAAGATACAGAGCATAGGGGTTAGGATTGCATAAGGTACAGAGCGTAGGGGTCCGGATTGCATAAGACACAGAGCAGGATTGCATAAGATACAGAGCATAGGGGTTAGGATTGCATAAGGTACAGAGCGTAGGGGTCCGGATTGCATAAGACACAGAGCAGGATTGCATAAGATACAGAGCATAGGGGTTAGGATTGCATAAGGTACAGAGCGTAGGGGTCCGGATTGCATAAGACACAGAGCAGGATTGCATAAGATACAGAGCATAGGGGTTAGGATTGCATAAGGTACAGAGCGTAGGGGTCCGGATTGCATAAGACACAGAGCAGGATTGCATAAGATACAGAGCATAGGGGTTAGGATTGCATAAGGTACAGAGCGTATGGGGTCAGGATAGCATAGGACAGAGCGTAGGATCAGGATTGCATAAGACACAGAGCATAGGGGTAAGGAATTCAAAAGTTACAAAACGTAGGGGTCAACATTGCATAAGACACAGAGCGTAGGGGTCAGGATTGCATAAAACACAGAGCATAAGGGTAAGAATTGCATAAGACACAGAGCATAGGGGTCAGGATTGCATAAGACACAGAGTGTATGGGGTAAGAATTGCATAAGATACAGAGCATAGGGGTAAGGATTTCATAAGGTACAGAGCGTAGGGGTCAGGATTGCATAAGACACAGAGTGTATGGGGTAAGAATTGCATAAGATACAGAGCATAGGGGTAAGGATTTCATAAGGTACAGAGCGTAGGGGTCAGGATTGCATAAGACACAGAGTGTATGGGGTAAGAATTGCATAAGATACAGAGCATAGGGGTAAGGATTTCATAAGGTACAGAGCGTAGGGGTCAGGATTGCATAAGACAGAGAGCATAGGGGTAATGATAGCAAAAGACACAGAATATAGGGCTAAGGCTTGCATAAGGCACAGAGCATAGGGGTAAGGATTGCATAAGACACAGAGCATAGGGGTCAGGATTGCATAAGCCACAGAGCACAGGGGCAACCCACATAGCTGAGAGAAGGGCTCAGAAATGCATCCCTTGCTCCATGCTACAAGTCTGACAGACATCGGCAGGACAGCGGACGAGGACAGAACTGCTGAAGCCCCAAATTTAGAAAAACATATTCAGGTAATTGTGTCACTGGCACCTCAAAGCATTAATCAACAGATGCTGGAGTCCACGATCTCTGGAATGAGTTGCCAGGTCTATTTACCTGCTGTGGCCATTATGAGGAGTTTCCACTCTTTTTGCATACATGATTTCTTTTTAATTTTATATTATGGCTTATTATCCATAATAAAAAATTAAAAAGAAATCTGGAGGAGGATCTGGAACACGAAGATGGGTGGGATTACACAAAACTCCCAGGCGGACAGGAAAAGAGAACTCGCTGTTTTTTGTTTTGGAGCATCCAAAACAAAAAAATATAACTTTTGGATGGACTGATCTCTTAAAAGAACCATTTAAAAGACTTTCATCCTCTTTAAGTAACTTTTGTTGATTAGGTAATAGGTAATACTAAACATTATAGTTCTCTGTTCACACTTCAAAAAAGGCTGATAGATAAAGGTTTTTGCACATGAACAAAAGCTTTGGTAACAGTAGTTTCTTTGTTTATGCTACAGAAAAAAAGTCTCTTTATGGAGGATCCTTTATTATAAAAATGATCTATGGATCTCTGGAGACACCCATTGAATGGTCAAAGGGATCTGTCATCCCAACCAGACATGAAATCATCGGCTATGGTGGACAAAGATCTACCTAGTTGTGCCTCAATATCCACAAAGAGAAAAAATTATATTAAGAGTGAATAATTATACAATAAGGATGAACTTTTCTACTTTTCATAAATTATTTGTTTTCAGTTCTTGTTTAAAGTCAGCCCTGTTTGCACACAAAAAAAACAACAGTACAATATTATATCCCAGAAAAACAGAGGGAATCCTGGATTAATAAATTAAAGATCAACTCAGTTCTTCTCAGATACTTAAAATGTAAAGCATCTGTATGAGGATCTAGGGCAGATTACATTTAACCTGATTCCACAACGGAAGATTAAACTGAGAAGAGCTATAGTAATTAAGATGCTGCAGATGTTCTTTGGAGCCGTCTGCCTTCACGGTCGGTAGAGCCATGCCGAAAATCCTTTGGTGTCACTTCGTTAAAGGGGGACGCTGGTTTTTAAAATGGTTCTGCAAAAGGGTAGCACTGTATAGTGTTATATATATTGAAATTTTTTTTTTTATCT